TGTGTATATATATATATATATATACACAGACATATATATATATATTTATATATATATATATGTTTATACCTAAAATTTAAGCAATACTTCATGCTACCTGCTTTTCATAAAAAGCATTCCGGTCGTAACACTGCAGAGTGCCTGGGACATGCTTAACAATCGAATGGGAGATGCTCAATTGTCCTACGACGTGCGAGAAAGAACACTTTGGATTCATTTAAAATTCGCTGGACTTCAAAATCCCCAACAGTATTTGCCACTTTTTTTGGCAACCACCTCCATTTCTCTTAAACAGCGATAAAGCAAGATGAGGGTGTCCTGGCTTGCGGCCCCTCCTGAAGATGCTGGCAGGTGGCTACCGGCTTGCCGGGCGCCCCGCGGCCTCACCGGCCAGAGGAAATATCCCGCTGACTCCTGCTGTTTATTTTTTCTTAAGGCATTGTTCCTCAGACTTCAGAAAACCCAGCCACAAAAATCCACCAGAGCAATTAAAAAAAAGGCACAAACTCGCATCTTCCGATGGCTTCCAGAAACTAAAGCTGCTCCCCCGGGCTCACGTTTCTGCTCTTGTCCAGTTTTTATTTGAAAGGTTCGTCCACTCTGTCCCCCACCCGCTGCAAACCCCCACCGCACCTGATGTGGTTCACAGAGGCAGGCCAGAGCCCTAGAAAACTTTCTTTAAAAAAAAAAACAAGCTACAAGATGAGTCGAGTGGTTTACACGGAGATCGTGGAACGGTGGGTAGTAATCAAATGTTAAGCACCAGTTTTAACCAAGTCTGTTTTGTACTGTTAGAGCTTTGATTTTCTCTTTCTCGTGTCAGCTAAATTGGACAACTCCACCGCAAGTTGCTGTCGCCTCCTTCCCCCGGCGATCCCCACGCTGGCGCCGAGCGCCCTGCGCGTCTGTGTGTCTGCTCGTCGCGGCGTCTGTCCCGTGTCCCGAGTGGGCGGCCACACCTCGGCCTGTGCGTCTCGAGATCTGTGGTCTGTGCAGCAGAAAAGGCTCCCGGTGCTGCTCACAGCCGGCAGCCTCTCGTGTTCTGAGAACACCCGGCAGAATGCAGGCGGACACAGGACATTTTCTGGCTGAGCTTCAAGACAGACGAACGAACAAGAGAAGAGCAGCTTCGGAGCAGGGCTACAGGGGCGGCTCCTCCTCCATTGGTTCCTCGTCTGGTCTGCGCGGTTCCCAGAGCAGGCGGAGCGGAGAGAAGAGAGCCCAACGGTGGGTTAGGGGCTGCTAGGTGCGCCACCCCGCACCAGCCCGCCTCCGCCCGGCTCTCTGCCCAGCTCCCCGCCCCCACGTCCCTGAGTGGGGGGCTCACAGCCGGGAGAGCCCCGCCCGCCCCCATTCTCAGGGCTGCTGGCCCGTCCTCCCTCGGGCTGCGGTGTAGAGAGGCCACTGCGCCGGGCTCCAGGGCAGGGACTCTGGCACACACGCCCAGCCACCCCAGGCCTGGGGCGGTGCGGGCTCACCTCTTCTCAGCCGACTTGACGCCCACAGACAGCGAGGCCATGGCGGTGACCGTCTCGGCCTCCTCATTCTCACACTTCTGGGCCTCCACCAGCGAGTACCCCACGGTCGAGGCGGCACGTTGCAGGGAGCGCCAGTACTTGCCTGGGGATGGAAAGTGACGGTCACCGGGCGCACAGCGGACAGAGGCCACGTGGCCCCCTTGTGCCACGCTGAGAAAGACCTGCTGCTGGGATCCTAGAAGCCCGTCAGGAGTCAGGACCGTGGGGCGCACAGCCACAGACCCACATGTGGCGCGTCTGACAACATGCATCTGCACTGCTGGCGGCAGTGATCCTCAGGGGTGGGGGGTGGGGGCACGGAGGCCAAAGCCTTCAAGAGCCCCAAGTGAGAACAGGAACAAAAACTGGACGTCAGCGTCTGTCTCCCAGGAATTCCAGATGCATCTGTCAAACCATCCCTCTCTCACAACCACTGTTAGAGAGAACAATTAAAAAACACTGCTGGGAATCGCTAAGCCAAATCCGGGTGTGCCGCCGCAGAAGTGGGAGCCGGACAAGCCCTTTCTCAACAGGCACACAGTGTGTGGGGTGGCAGGAGCAGATGGCATTCCTTGAATGGGGGGTGTGCACTCCCACTGTGCCCCAAGCCCCTGAGCTATGAAGTGGGGTTCTCTGGAGCAGGGGAGAGAGGCCGGACCCGAGACACAGGCTCACACTCAGGTCCCAGCCACGGCAGCCTCCAGCCCGCGCCTCTGAGCTGTACAGCAGGTTGTGGGAGACTACGGGGTGCAGTCAGCTGAGAGCAGGGCCCGGTCCCCACAGGCCGCCTGAGAGGAGACAGGTGGGGCGAGGCGGGCACTGGGGAGTCCTGCCCCCTCCCTCTCATCCGGCCCCCAGGTACTCACTGTGGATCTCAATGACCTTCTCCATGGACCGGACGGCATTGGCATTGCATCTCTGCTGTAGAGTCTTCTCGGGGAGAGGGTCAAGCTGGACGAGAGGGAACATGAAGGACATCAGGACAGTGTTACTACGTGCATTAAAGCAGATATCAAGGTCAGCACCTGTTTCTCCAGTTGGACTTGTTTGCTTAGTGCACTTCCAACGAGGAAGAGAAAATAACTGGAAAACTCCAAGTGTGCTTAGACGTTTATTGCATGAAGTTTTCTACAGCAGTAGGCCCGTTTTCTTGAGGATGCTTCTCCTAGGACATGATCAGGGACGCGTGGAAGGAAGACGGCCGTCCGCAGGAATGCTGGGATAGAAGGAAGCCAGCGTGGTATCTAGCAGCTACACGTGATGAGGTTTCGGAAATACCGCTGTCCCAGCCCTGGTCTTCTCAATGAAAATGCCCTCAATTACGTTTTTCTTCTAATCACGGGGAAAATAACAGGGGAGTGGAAGGAAGTGAGCGAGCCTCTCAAAGCTGGAAACCTTCACACCGTGTTTTTCCCTAAGTACTGACGGGAGACAATTCAGGAGTAAACGCACAAGAGAAGTGTACGGCGGTACGGCACCCCAGGGCATCTGGAACAACACAGCTAACGTGGTTGACTGAAGCAGATCATCACAACAACAAGAAGCTGTAAATGACTGGGCAAGCCTCAAGAATGGGGAGACGTGTGGGTTTAGGATCATGGTGTGGACCCCGCCGGGAAGGTCACTGAGCACTGATGACCACGGGGCAGGGGCTGGTGGCTGGGGGGACCAAGTGGGCCGAGCAAGCTGGTACTGGAATACAGACCACCCACCGTCAGATGCACAAACCAACAACTGCCCCACAGATCACAGGCTAGGAAAGTTCTGGTCGTAGCCTTGGCTCTGGGTAGAAGCTAAAAAAGAAGTCCTCCGAGAATCTGTCCGGTTCTAGACACTGCTCTTAAGGAGGTCCCATGATGCCAGGGCACCTGGCAGAAGCAAACGCAGACCCTCTGTGATGCACGCCTCCCTGACTGGTCCTCAGATCAATGCTGCAGGTTAAGGTCCACGAGGCGTGAGTTCCCAATAAAAGAGTCATAAACAACATGTAAACAGGCCAGCATGGACCCAAGGCTGGAGAACCACTGCAATGAATGGCACCAGGCTCCTTGCAGACACAGCAGGTCCTAGTGCTGGGGCCGGGCACACCCAAGATGCGCACGGAGTATCTTATAGTGCTGAGGCATAAGGCCGTGCCCCAAAGACAAAATGACTGGATGTGTCAGAGGTTCCTGTGGTACAATCTCAGCAATGGGTAAATAACATGGTATTAGATTATGACCTGGAGTATAAACTCAGTATTCTCAAGTCCATAGTGAAAAGTTAGATAAGGAGAAGAGGACAAGTCTGCCTCACAGAAGAATCCTAAGTAATTTACGCACACACACGCGCTCTCTCACGCCCTCACCCCACCCACATCCCCCTTCAGTCCGGGTTGTACTTAAGTGACTTGCTTTCAAAGGGCAGAGTATGGCAAGTGAGGACAAGTAACCTCACAGTGGAGACACCTGACAGACACTACCTCGTCCAGGTGGTCCAGCATGACCTCCCCAGAGATAAGCCAGGTTGACAGTGTGCACCTCTGATACAAAGGTTCGAGAACAGCACTTACCCTCTGTGGTCTTCCTCCCCAAGTCCCTAACCGGAGTCTAACCAGGAGGAAAACCTAAACCAAGGGACAGCCTACAAAATGCCTGACCGGTGCCTCTGCAAACTGTCAGCCGTGGAAAACGATGACAGACTGGGAAGCTGTGACAGACCAGAGGAGACTGAATACATGCGATGGACTCAGTCTAACGTGGGGATCCTGGGTGGGCACCTGGAGCAGGAAAAAGCGTGCTGGTGAAAAGACAATGAGAGAAGGCAAGAAAAGAGAAACAAGGAAGGTTACAGAGAAAGGGGCAAACAAAGCACAAAATATGATGGCAGAATGAACCTGGAAAACAATGTAATCAAACTAAGTGTAAACTAAAGTCTCTGCCTAATCCACAGACTGTTGGGCTGGGTATAAAATATAATGATGAAATACAGCCTTATGCTTTTAACAAAAGACACATCTGAAACACACAAGGAAGGTTGAAAGTCAAGGGTGAAATGGTAAAAACCTGGCAAAAAGAAGACTGGTGTGACATCTTATGTATCAGGGACAACAGGCTTAAGGGAAAACCACAACTGAACACAAAGGAGGTCACTACGTAACAAAGAAAATGGCAGTCCATTGAGAAGACATTGTGATTTGTACATACTTAGTAAAATAGCTTTAAAATCTACAGAGCCATCAGTGACGGAACTGAAAGATATGGATAGATGTACCATCATAGTAGGGGATCCTGACACGTTTAGATTGAGCAGAGAGGCAGACAAAAATGAGCAGAGAAAACCAAATGCAGACAACACAATGAGTAAACTTGGTTTAACGGGCGTAAACAGAACCCCGCAGAACAGATGGCGAAGACATATTATTTCAAACATATGAGGGTTGTCTATGTGCTGGCCACGTACTGGGCCACCAAGAAAGCACAGCAGAGACCTCCTTTTTGTGCCTCAATGCAATTCGTTTGAAATTGATAACAAAAAGAGAATCAAGACCACTTACGTTTGGAAATTAAAAAACATGGGGCACACAAACATGGGTCAAAGAATACATCACAATGGCAACCAGAAAATGATTATAGCTAAAACTGATGAAAATGCTATACATCACCCTGCGTGGGCCACAGCCACACACTGGTGGGGGTGGTGGGGTGGTGGTGGTGGTGCATGCAGAGCCCCAAACGCATGAATTAAAAAACAGGGCTGAAAAGTAGATGCCCAGTTTAAGAAGCTAGCAGGAGGACAGAATGGCTTCAAAGAAGTAAAGAGGAATGAAAATATAGGGAAAAGAAGCAGAAATAAACTAGAAGGAAAAAAAGATATTGATGCTGAAAGTTGGTGCTTTGAAATGACTCGTTAAATTGACAAGTTCTAGCAAAGTGGTCAACAAAGTAAAGAGAAGGCGCAAGCAATGTCAAGAATGAAGAGGTTGCCACGAGATAACAGCGGAGCCTAAAATGGTGACAGGAGACCACTACTAACTTGTGCCAATACATCTGAAAACTTGATGCAATGGACCAATTCCTGGTCAAATGTAATCCAAAACTAACTGAAGAAAGAAGAGAAAACCTGAATGGATGACAAAGACATTGAATCAGTAAGTTAAAATCTTCACCCAATGGAAACACACAGCCCAGACGAGTCCTCCCAGTTAAGGAGCAGATTATCTAATCCTGGACTCATTGTTCCAGAGAATATCCAGAGAATAAAAAAAAGAGGGACAGCTCCTCAATATATATCCATCTATCATCCATCTGTCCATCCATCCATCCATGTCCTCACCCATCCACCACCCACCCATCCATCCATCCACTACCCACCGATAATCCAACCATCCATCTACTCACCCATCATCCATCCAGCCATCTACTCACCCATCACCCACCCATCCATCTACCCATGACCCACCCATCTATCTTCCATCCACCCACTGCCCACCCATCCACCCACTGCCCACCCATCCACCATCCACACATCCACTCACCCACCCACCCCTCCATCCATCCACCCATCCACCACCCATCTATCCCTCCATCCACTACCCACCGATCATCCATCCATCCATCTACTCACCCATCATCCATCCATCCATCTACTCACCCATCATCCATCGATCCATCTACTCACCTATCACCCACCTATCCATCTACCCATGACCCACCCATCTATCATCCATCCACCCACTACCCACCCATCCACCCACCGCCCACCCATCCACCATCCACACATCCACTCACCCACCTACCCCTCCATCCATTCACCACCCATCTATCCATCCATCCACTACCCACCGATCATCCATCCATCCATCTACTCACTCATCACCCACCCATCCACCTACCCATCACCCACCCATCATCCATCCACCCACTGCCCACCCATCCACCATCCACACATCCACTCACCCACCCACCCCTCCATCCATCCATCCATCCACCCACCCACCAATCCATCCATCCATCCATGCATGCATCCATCCATCCATCCACCCACCCACCACCCACTCATCCATCCATCCAATTTCCCCCAAGAATAAATAGAAAACAGTGCAATAGAAAAATGGGTAAAGGCATGGACTTCATAAGAAGTCACCGTCCGCATTCGCACAGTGCCCTGGGCTGATGGCCACCTGGCGCTGACCCTGGACGTGGCTTTGACATAAGTTCCTTCCCACCTGCCCTACATGGCTACCCCCTTGGTGGAGAGAGCTCTTCGTGTGCCCACATCCCCAGCGGCTGGCCAAGGTGCCTGCTGTATGTAGCTCCAGGGAGTGCCTGCACAATGAATGAGCAACATGAGTGACTAAGAGCCATCATCACCCTGTCCTCACTACATCGTCTCTTCTCTCTGTTGGCTATGAAGTGACAGGACACCCAGGGGCAGGAACAAGGGAAATCTGGGAGGAGAACAGTCTTCATTCCCCTTGACTGGGCTTCCTCCAGAAATATGTTTTCCTGAGGCAGAGAACGTGAGAGCTAGCAGAGACGACCGCGGAGGGATTCAACGCCTTCCTTCCCATGGGAGGACGCTCTGCGCGTGGTCTTCCTGCAGCGGCTCCCGGAGAGCAAGGCGCGAGGGCAGGGCAGGGAACAGGGATGAGGACAGAGGAGGCCGCGGTCTGCAGCAGCGTGGCGTCTATGCGACGTCTCGGTGTCTAAGGGTGACGATGCAATCCAGCCGTGGATAAAAGCCCCAGTGCCAACATGCTGGCTCTACTTCATTCCCTCAGTCGGCCACACTTCCCGAGCACCTCCAGGACGCCGGGGATGAGGCAGGAACTCTCCCGGCCTCCACTCAAGAACGGGGTGGGGAGGAACCTGACACTTCTCAAGACGTCACCCCTGGCCAACTGGGGTTTCACTGCCTCATTTAATAAATACGCATTAAACCACCTTCTGCGTGCCAACCGCGACTCTGGA